GGACATTTGATGAATTTGGGTATGTTGGGCTAGAATTGGGCTTAGGTTGAGCTAGGGTTGGGTTAAGTCCAAATTTATGGCTCAAAATGGTCTAGGGGAATGTCATGATGGTCTAGGGGAATGATGGTCTAGGGGAATGTCATGAAGAATTCTCAACATCAATTGGGTGTCAATTTTGGGGTTTGGGCATTCAATTTAGTGAAATTTGGGCACATGATCAAATTGGGGAAAATTTGGGGATTTTGGTCCAAGTTGATTTTAGGTGAAATTGAAACTTGACCAAGGCCAATTAAAGTTCAATTTGAAGTGTGGGAATATTTCAAATATTTTATAATGCACAAATGGGGGCAATTGGAAAGATTTGGGGGTTCAATTGAATGGGATTTTGATTTTAGGCCAAATTGGGCCTTTTTGATTCAGGTTGAAATTTGACTCAAATGTGGGTCAATTGGACTTGTATTGGGTTTGAATTGAGTTTTTTCATGATGAATTTCAGTTTATAATTGAAATTGGGGGAGATTGGGGTTAAATTAATGGACATTTGGGGTGAATTTGGGGAGATTGGGGTTAAATTAATGGACATTTGGGGTGAATTTGGGAAAATTGGACCCTTAAGGCAATTTGGGGCTTTCGGTCAAAATGGTCAAATTGGTCAAATTGGGCTCAATGGGAAGTTCCAAATTAGTTTTGGGGACTTTTGAGATGATTTTGGAGGTTTTGAGAAAGTTTACGGTACCAAGGGTATTTTTGTAATTTTGGCAAATTTAGGGGTATTTTGGTAATTTCGGGTGGTTTTGGGCAATTTGAGTATTTTGGAAAGGTCTGAAATGATTTTTGGATAAATTTGGGTATTTTGGGTGAAATTGGGAATTTTGGCCAAACTTAAAGTTTGGGGGTATTTGGGTAATTTAGGAGGCAAAAATGTTAAGTTGGATATTTTGGTAAAATTGAGGCGTAAACCACCCTATGTGAGCCATAGACCAACGAAATCCCTATTTGAGTCCTCTATGTACTGGTCTTAGCTAAACCCTAGCCTAGGGCTAGTGGGTCTAGGGCATCTACATGAGTCTCCCAAACGATCAAAAGGGATCAAAGTCGACAAAGTTTGGGTTTAAGGTTGAGTGAAAGTGAGTGCAAGTAAGGTTATGCAAGTGTGTGAACCAGCAAGACCACTCCACCAGAGGGTTGGCTCTAAGGCCAAGCAGTCCTATGGGGACTCACCTTGAGCTCTCTCATATTGACCTACCTACTAAGTACTAGAGATTATGACCAATATGTGGAACTTCTAGTTGAGAAAAGAATGGTTCAGAATTTCTAATGGTGATGGTTCATTTTCTAGTCTTCTAGGAGTAGTCAACAGAAAAGTCATATGGCTAGACCCTAGGCTACTATAGAGGAAAGACTAGACCTCAACCAAAAGTGAGGTTAACAGATATCAAACACAAACATTGACATAGTTCAACAACAAAAGTAAATTCAATCCAACACAACAAACAACTAAAACAAGTAGTACTAAATAAAATGTTCCGTGCATAGATTAAGTTCAAACATCTTCTTCACTCTCGTCCTCCTAGATATCTCCCATAGATTGGTAGTGCACATAAATATTTCATAAAACTTAAAGAAAAGATAAAAATGATTTAATTAAGGTTAGCAGCTAGGAAGTCTTGGATAGCATTAAACGTCACATTAAACGTCGACCATCTGATGATCCGATTATGAGAGTAGATGTTTTAGATTCGACTTGTGTTAAGAAAGGCAGAGGTAGACCTAGGAAGACTTGGGCTTATTGTATAAAAAATGATCTTAATTTTAGAAATAAATGAAAATATGACACTAAATAGGATGCAATGGAGAAAAACGATTCATGTAGCCGACCCCATGTAGTGGGATTAAGGCTTTGTTGTTGTTGTTGTTGTAAGGACAACAGTTACAGAACATGATAACCTAAATAGATTTTATAGCTTGGCATTCACTAAATAAAAAAACAAAATATATATATAAACATGAAATCAATAGAATAAAAAAGTGCCAAAAATTATTAACACATCTTAGAACTAAAATCATGTAGTGACCCCTAAATTAGCTAACAAAGCTAAAAATAATGATAATAAATGCAAAAAATCTCACATCATTAACAAAAGAAAATTGTTTACAGTTTACAATGAGAAGTAAAAATAGAAAAAAAAAATAATATTAGTCCTCTTTCAATTGAGAATTTAGCATAAAGGTAAACACACCAACACGTTTGACAAGATGAAACCAAACCTTAAAAGCCTTTTAATGTGAATTTTCCGAAGAGGCAAATGGTATACTATAGTATTAGTTGTGATTATTTATGGTTTGCAACTTATTGCAGCTCGCCAATTGGTGCCTCATTAAGCCACAAGGAATGGATGAAGTCATACAAATTCCCACTAACACTCACCTGTTAAAGAGTACAAGAAAGCAACACATTAATGAAATATCAAGACAATTTTAAGGGATTCTGACAGCTGAATCAAAATAAAATTTTTTTAAGAAAAAAGAGAAAAACCTTGTATGGCGTAGGGTTTAATCTTCTCATGTGATCTGGCCGCATTTGATCGAGGTGTTGCATGCAGCGATCTCTCATGGTCTTCAGAGAAGGTAACTCCTCTCGTTTGTTACCTCATAAAATTTCAATTCAATATCAGCATAAAAAAGAAAGAAAACTTTCACAATTGCATTATTGACACTGACAATTGACAAAATATGATTGGCAACTTGTTCCACCATTGATGAATTTTAATTGTTTGGAAAATCATAAAAATAGAAAAGCTATAATATGAAATCCAATTAGCCAAAAGGAATACCAATTGTAGATGTTTATAACAAAGAATTCAATTTCAGTTTTCATACATAAAATATGGGTCATCTAAACCATGAGTTTTAGTTAAATTATTTCTGAACTTGAAGATTTTTAGTTATATGTTTGAAAAGACTGAAAGATACATGACCATACGAAAACCAATTAGGATTTGATAATGGTCTCCAATCAATCATCATATTAAAATTTCATATCTAAAAAAACACAGATTATGGAGTTACAAACTTCAAAAAATAATTTTGGAGAATTTGAACCCTCATTTTGGTATGCTTAATGTCAAAACAACTGGTTTGCATTGATAACTTTATCAACAACTAGAATACTTGGATCCAAGTCTTCGATTGAGCCAACAAGTGGTACTCAAATGAATAATAAAAATCATTTAGAATTTATTCAAAGAGGCAAATGGTATAATTATTGTGTGTTTATAATTAAAACGATAGGCTCGTAGAGACCATTCGTTTAATAACAAAATTATCCAAATCAGAGTACAGGTGACCCCAAAATGTAAGCTAAAATATAATTGAAAAAGTTATAAAAATTTTTTGCAGGGTCAAATGAATTTCAACTTTTTTTGTCCTTATACTTAAAATAGCTATCTCTTGAAAATAATTCCAAATAGTTTAAAATTGTGCAAATTCAAATTTGTTTGGCCACCAAAATAACAAAAAATTGCTTAATTTTTCAAAGGCAGGCCCCATAACCATTATTAGTTATCCTCTAATATCAGCAACAAAATATTGTCACCTCCCCTTATTGGTTGCCACCCTATCTAACTAACCCATCACTAATTTCAAAAAGCTATTGCAATGAGCAATTTCCTTGAGCCAGTATATCATGAGAAAATTGTATCAATCGTGTGTACTTCAATAAGAAAGAATTATGGCTTGATTGAAACCGACCCAATCGCATGTACTTCGACAAGAAAGATCTAAGGTTTGTTTGGGATCAATTCTATTCTCTGTTTTTTTTTCCCCTAAAAACAATATTTCTTTAGTGTATTTTTATATGTTTTTATTTGTTGTTTCTAAAATTAAAATAATATGCTGTTGAAAACACTCAAAACATTGTTTTGTGTATTTTATAAAAAACAACAATACTTTCATCAAATAGCCAAATATGATTTGTTTCAAAGGAAAAAAATAATCAAAATAAAATAAAAGTATAAAATAGAAAATAGAAAATAGAAGTGATCCCAAGCATATCCTTAGCTTTCAAACTTGCCAAAACTTTTGTAAACTCTATAGGCAACAAGATAGTGAACCATTTGCTGCATTGGATTGCTCTTGGAAAAATGAATGTTACATCCCACAAAATGGTTTTAATTATCAATTTTTAAGGGTTTGGAACTTTCAAAATTACTCCAATCGTATGAACTACTATAGGGTTATTTTTCTTTTGTTATGTTGAATAATTTCATAGAAAAATCATCACATATTGTCTTTATTTTCATGCAACAACAAAACCAAATCGAATAGTTTCTTAGTATTATGCCATATTCTCAAAAAATTCAGGCATCATAATTTAATCTGATAATTTTATTGGACTTGTGCATCAAGAGCATCAAAACAATAGCCTTCGCTCAGCTATTGATAGAGTTTGCAGGTCAACAACTTGGGTTATCATGATGCTAAAATCATTAAATAAATTAATAAATAAGAGGCCAATTGGGATCATGTTTGATTTGTTATTTTTGTTTATTTTTATTTATCACTATTATTATTATTTTTATAGATGTTTTGATTTAAAACAAAACACGTTGGAATTATATAACAGGTTTAAAAAATTTTCAAAATACTCAAAACAATATTTAAATGTTTCAAGTTTTTTTATAATAAGCTAATTTGCTTTTAAAAGCAAAAAATTGAAACATGCAAAAAAAATATACTAAGCAAACCTATTTTTTAAAATAAAAGAAAAAATAAAAATAAAAAAAACAAAAAATAAAACTGATCCAAAACAAGCCCCAAGTAAGCCTACTTGATAAGAAAATTAAAGCAAAAGTATTATTATCAATTCAAACTAAATATACTTAGTAAAAATTTTGTTAGTCTTAGAGACGATTGTGAGGATGAATCATTCAATCCAGTGTATGGTGTAAAACGCCTTGAATTTATAATAACATGTAATATTTATATTAATTATGTAATTTCTAAATTATATGTTTATATAATGATGGGCGGGTTAGGGCATGATTAAAGAGCAATAAGATAAGTAGGTCTCTAATGAAAAGAGCTATAGAAGCTATTGTAACTTCAATTTTATTAAACCATGAAACAGAGGATACATAAAGTAAGTATTCGATTGAGCTTTTCTGCAATTGGTGACATATAGGAGCAGGAAGAATGTTGCTGCAGTGGTGGAGGTAGTCCCATGTGTGATCGTGGTTGGCAGGAGAAAGTGGAGAGTAAATCAATTGAGGTGGAGTGTAGTAGTTTGTTATCCCCCCTCAAGCTTATAGTCCGGTAGAGTGATGGTAAGCTTGTGCAAGAGGCTTTGAAATTGAGCTGCAGTTTGACTCTTTGTGAAGATTTCAGCCACCTGATCTGTTGAGCTGATATGTAGTATTTGAATATCACCCGATTGTACGTGATTGCAAATGAAGTTGTAGTCGATTTCAACATGTTTTGTGGGAGCATGGAAGATGGGATTAAGTGCTATGGCGATGGCAGATGTGTTGTCACAGTGTAATGGGTTTTGATTGGGAGTGAAGATGTTGAATTCTTGAAGTAATCATCAAAGCCAAATAACATCAGTGGTGGCAATAGCTAGCACACGGTACTCAACTTCAGTGGAGGAGCAAGAAAATTTTTTTTTTTTTTTTTTTTTTTTTGCTCTGAACTGTCCATGATATGAGTTTGTTGCTGAGGAAACTGCTAAATCCAGTGATCGATCGTTCGGTCTTGAGAGTTGCCAACCCAGTCGGAATCGGAGTAAGCTTGTAATTGAAAGTTGTTGTCGGTGATTGGAAGTCTGACTATGATGGTGCCTTTGAGGTAGCGTAAGATACTCATAATGATTTGAAAATGATAAAGTAAAGGATGAAGCATATGCCGAAATATGTAGATTACGACGAAGGCTATGTTGGGTTTAGTGATGGTAAGAAATGGAAGGGAGCCAGCAAGTTGCCGATATAGAGTGATATTCAAAAACACTGGAAGAAAATTTTGGTCATGATTGAGCTTGTAGGGAATGTGAGATGATTGAGCTTGTAGGGAATGTGAGTGACGATAGGTTTGCACATAGTTAGGCCAAGTAGCTGTAGGAGAGAATGATTGTAGGAGGATTGTGTGAGATGATAACCATGTGACGTGTGGCGTGTTGATGCCAGAGAAGGGATTAATCAGTCCCAATTCTTTAAGTTGGAATTTAAATTGGAGAATGTGCGTGACGTTTGTAATGGCTTGTAGATCAATTTCGATGATGAGAATGTAATATACGTACACAAGAAAAAAAATGGTGAGCTGATTTTGATGATAGATGAGTAGGGAATGGTCGGCGGTGCTTAGTTTAAACCCATTAGATTGGAGGTGGTGAATTAGAGTTTGATACCATTGTCGTGGTGCTTGTTTTAGGCCATAGAGAGCCTTTTTGAGTAAGCATACCTTGGTTGGATGTTGAGTGGCTTGGAAGCTTGAGGTTGATACATGTAGATAAGTTCATCCAATGAGCCATGAAGGAAAATGTTGGAGACGTCGAGTTGCTGAAGTAGCCACTTACATTGGAGAGCACAGGATAGAAAAATCTGAATTGTAGGTGGCTTGCAAAAGGGCTAATGTTTCTTTATATTGGACAATTGTTTGAACCCTTGCGTAACATGAGACTCCTTGTGTTTAGCTACGCTACCATTAGGTTTCCTTTTGGTGCAATAAGTCCATTTGCCGCTTATTATGTTTTGGTGAGGAGGTGTCTCAACAAGAGTTCATGTTCCTGCTTCTGTAATGCTTCAAACAACTACAACTACAAGGTTGGTGCTAATGTCATCAATAACATTTCATGCGAAAAACAGAGCCCCACTATTCACTTAGCAGTTTCAATCATCCTCCCCGAACGACGATCCTAAAAGACACAAAATAAGGGAAAAATGAGCTACACCATCAAGATTACATGCTAACTTTCTGACTGACAAAAGATTGCACTTAAGCAAATGAACGTGTAAAACGGATTTCATGAAGAGTGTACCTTTTGCATTAGCTAACAAAAAAAAGTAAAAAAAAAGTACAAAAAGCAGGTCCTCAGACCTATGCAAAAGAGGTTCTATCATCGCCGAGTATGACAAAAAGCTCCAACGATTCAGAGACCATATCAAAAGGAAAACTATGCAAAAGAGACCTTAGGGCACAAAAATTGGCAGCTCGATTTGAGTTTCTGGGAAATGAAAAAATGCTTGTCAAAAAGAAGTTAGAAAAGAAAACGCCTGAAGTTGATCCGAACAGATCCTCCAGCTTCTTTGCTCCATCATCTGTTGCATGAACTTGATAATATTAACATTATCCCGTTCAAAGATTATCCCTATAGTCTCAAACATCAACGGTTGAAGCAAGTGTTTGACCATCAAAATGGCCTCAAATTTCACCCATCCGAACTCACCCGCCCATTTCATCCAGCAAAATGGCTCTTGCACCGGCCAATTTATTTTGTAAAAAAGCCCCATCAACAATTACCTTGAACCAACCTGGTGGGGACAACAAGAAAAAGTTGTAAAAGCCGTCGAGACTGGCTAGTGCCTCAAGATGGAAAAGAGTGAGTGTTGGTGAGAACCTCAATAACGGTAGCTTACATAAGGTTTGGCGTAGCATAAGAACGCCCAATGTTTCTTT